ACTTGCAATATTTTCTCTTTGACCTGGGACCTCTAGAATTTGGTTATAATATTTCAGAGTTTAAATTTTGGGTAGATTCACTCAATTTCTATTTTACCATCTGGTTCTCAAATACTAAGGAAATTTTCCTTGATAATTTCTTGAAATATTATGTTATCAAGTAGTCTAATAATTCTTAAATTCATTCTCCCCAATCTCTTTTCCAGGTCAGTTGTTTTTCTAATGAAATATTTCATTTTTTCTTATTTTTTTATTCTTTTGATTTTCTTTTACTATTTCTTGGTGTCTCATGGAGTCATTAGTTTTTGCTTTCCCAATTCTAACTTTTAATGAATTGTTTACTTCAGTGAAGAGTGTACCTCTTTTTTTCCCATTTGTCCAAGTTGTTTTCTTCAGTGAATTTTTGTACCTTTTTTTGCATTTGACCAATTTTGCTTCTTAAGGCATTCTTCTCTTTAATGGATTTTTGTGCCTCCTTTACCATTTGGCCAATTCTCTTTTTTGTTTTGTTTTGTTTTTAGGTAATTGGGGTTAAGTGACTTGCCCAGGGTCACACAGCTAAGTAAGTGTCAAGTGTTTTGTCTGAGGCCAGATTTGAACTCAGGTCCTTCTGACTTCAGATGCTATATCCACTGTGCCACCTAGCTGCCCCAGCCAATTCTCTTTTTTAAAGTGTTATTTTCTTCAGTGTTTTTGATGCCTCTTTTACAAAGCTACTAATTTTCTTTCCATAATTTCCTTGGACCACTCTCATATTTTTCTTAATTTACCTCTCATATTTGACTTTTAAAATTCTTTTTGAACTCTTTCAGGAATTTTCATTGGGTTTGTATCCAATTCATATTTTTATTTCAGACTTTGTAGCTTTTTTGACATCATTATCTTTTTCTGGTTTATGTCATAATCTTTCTTCTTGCTATAATAACTTGTTATAGTCAGGTTCTTTTTTGTTTGTTTTTTTGCTCATTTTACTCTGTAATTTTTTTTTTATTTCAGGCCTTTCTTGCCTCTGTTTTCAGAGCTTGCACTGAGTATCTGTACATTTTAAGCATTTCCAAGGCAGTATGGTATGGTATGGTGTGGTATGATGTGCTATAACCACACCAAGGAGAGTTGTGGTCATTGCTTTCTTTGGTCTGGTCCTTATCCAGGAAGAGACTTTGTTTCCCAGTAGCCACCAAATGTTAGCACTCCTCTTGGCCCTGGGACTGCGACCAGATCCCCTGCTGTCCTCCAGTTACAATTGCTAGTGCTCCTTTTTGTCTTGGAATTGAGACAAGAGTCTCTATTTCCCCATGAGCTACCAAAAACATTCCTTTCTTCGCTGTTACTGCAAAGCCCCTACTCCCACGAGTGCTCTCACTCCTTTTGGCCCTAGGACTATGAACTAGCACTTAATGGCAATGCAACAGGGTCCTAAATGTACTGTCAGCCAAAGGTCCTCTGCAACCAGTTGTCCCACCCCTACATTCTTTGGACTGAGAACTTTTGACGTGATGCTGCCAATGCAATTGCCCCCCAGGTGTAGTCTGTGCTGCCTGCATTGTATGCCCAAGTCTTGCCACCATCCTGGTGAGACAGATCTTTCCTAATCTCCTAAATTGTCTTGGGCTGGAAAAATTGTTTCACCTTATCTTTTGTTGGTCCTGGCACTCCAAAATTTGATTTGCAGTGTTATTTTCAATTTGTTTGGAGGAAAATTTCGAAGAAATTGGTCAAGTGCTGCTCTACTTTGCCATCTTGGCTTTGACTTCTCTTCTTCTTATTTGTTAACTTGCATTGTTATATGATATTTTTCTATCTCTCCAAAGTTGTTTATTTATCCTTTTCTTTCTTGCTTCTCATAAAATCCATGGTTGATCACATATGCTTCAAACTGTGTATCCTTATTCCATGCTGGGAAAAGGAGAATTCCTTTTTTGAATACACATAATGTAACCTAGTTGGAAATCTACAGTTCTGGCCAAATATGCGGGGGGTTTTTCTACCTGGTGGCTTGACAAGCTGGGTAGGTTTGAGAGTATTTTATGCTTGTGGTTCATTTTAATAAGCATTCTAATGTGGTAAAGAAAGAAATCTACATAGAGCTGCATCATTTTCCCTTGGTTAACACTGTAAGAGCTCCTTTTCTGTGGCTATCACCAGGTGGTCTTGAACATTGGATTTCCATACAAATCTTAAGCCTTCTGTGTGAAAAGAACAGAGAGGACCCTTTGGAGAGAATACTGACTAAAGGGAAGGTTATAGCCTTGAAGCAGTCCAGTATGAGAGGAATCAGCCTCTTCCCATTCTAAATTGGTAAGAAAGAATACCTACTTCAGCCACACTCTTTTCTCTATAGTGGCACTTGTTGGTTCCTGGTTAATTTAGTCATGTAAAGAATTCTTTGTTAGTAGTTTACAATTCTTCCCTTGAAAACTGTTTGATCACATCCTTCAACCACTTATCTATTGGTTTTACAAATTTCTATTAGATCCCTATATATCTTGGCTATAAGACTGTTCTCAGGGATATTTGATTCCTCTCTCCCATTGGATCACTTCCCTTCCTATCCTAGTTGTATTAATTTTGTTCAAGCATAATCTTTTCAATTTCATGTAATCAATATTATCTATTTAGGAAAAAAAAACCTTGGCTTGAACTGAATGTGTAATCTGACCCCCAAAAAAGCTAAAAATGGGGGTTGGGAGTGGTAAGATTTTCCAATAAATTTGGGCCTGGAATACTTTGAATCTGTGATAATATTCTGGGAGAATCCACATACAAGTTGAAGATAGTGTCTCCAAGTATTTCTGTTTATTTTGGCTTTGTGCCTTGGTCCTGTATAAGGCTATAGACTATAAACTTTGTGAAGGCAGGGACCATATTTTAACTATAACACACTGTTTGTATATAACAGATGTTTAATAAATATTTGTTGAATTTAAAATTGTATATGCACCATGAAGATGTTCATTAGAAGCTCATGTAAAATGCTTTCTTGGTATCACCTATGTTACCCTATCAAAACCCACCCTTTTTTGGCCACTTCTTCAGTTGAGGCCAAAGGTTTCAGAGAAAGTTCTCTGATGAATCCCAAATTTCATCTCGAGGCATAACTAAGAAAAAAAATATTCAAAATCATTCCAAAAGGCTGGTATACTAGGCTCAAACTAAGCCAGATAATATCTAGTAGTTACCAGGATACTTCATAGCACTAGAGGTTCTAGCAAAAGGAATAACACAAAAGAAAAAAGTAAAAAGAATAAAGAGCGGTAAATAGAAGACAAAAACCATCACAATTTCCTGATGATTTTTTTCTTAGAAAATCCTAAGGAAGAAGTAAGAAAACTAATTGAGATAATCAACAGGATAAAGCATAAGACCACAAAATAACTGCCTCCCCTTAATCACTAGGATTTCTATAAAGAAATAATAAATCTAGGAGCAAAAAATAAGAAGTCCCATTACCAATAACTATAAAATGTATAAAATATCTTACAGCCAATATAACAACATAGACCTAAGACTCATAGAAATAAAATTGCAAAACACTTTAAATTAAGAATAACTTAAGTAACTGGAGGAATATCCAGTATTCATCACCAGGTAATGCCAATATAATAAAAATGATATTATCACCTATATAAATTTCTAGAATTAATGCTACAACAATCAAATTGCCAAGTGGCACTTTATAGATCTAAATAAAATAATATTAGAATTTATTTGGAGGAATAAAATATATAGAATATAAAAAATAATTTAGGAAACTAGAAATGACGAAAGAATAGCACACCCAGATCTCAGACTAAATTATAAAGCAGTATTTGTGAAAATTATCTGATACAAGTTTAAAAATAGGAAGGTAGAAATATGGAATAGATTAGACAAGATTGAACCAGAAACAATGGCAATAATCTAGTATTCAATACACCTGCAAACTTATTAGCTATGGATAACTTCTCTATTTGTTGAGATTTGCTGAGAAAACTAGACAAGTATCTAATAGAAATTAAGTTTAGACCAACATTTTGCATCATTTGCCACAACAAACTCAAAATGGATATAACCTGAATATTAAAGGTCATATAAAAATTAGAAGGCAACTTGATCAGAAAGCTTTTGCAGCTATGACTGGAAAGGGTGAATTCTTAAACAAGATATAGAGATAATCATAGAAAACAAAAATGGATAATTTTAATTTCATGAAATTGAAAAGCTTTTACATAAATAAAATGAACACAAACAGGAGAAATAAGGAAAAGCAACTAATGGAGGAAAACCATTGCATTACATCCCTGACAGGAGCATGATGACTAAGATAGATAGACAATTAATGGAAAGATATAACAACAATTCCTGTTTCCCAATAGATATGTGGTTGAAGATATGAACAAACTGCTCTCAAAAGGAGAATTGCAAACCATTAATACCTTATAAGAGAATATTCTAAATCACTAACTATGAGGAAAGTACAAATCAAAAGAACTCTGAAATTTCACTTCATAATTGAATGCTAGGATTAGTCAATATTATAAAGTTCGTAGAGCACTAATTCATTGTTGATAAAGTTAGGAATCAGTGTAATTAATCTGCAAAATCATTTGAAATTAAACTAAGAAAATGACTAAAATATTTATACTCTGTGTCCTAGAGATCTCATTATGAGGCATATACCAAAAAGAAAAAGTCCTATGTGTATCAAAATATTTACAGTAGTACTTTTTTGTGGTAGCAAAGAACTAAAAACAAAGTAGATGGCTGTCAATTTGGGAATGGCTGAACAAGTTGTAGTATATAAATGCAATGAAATATTATTGCTCTGTAAGAAATAATGAAAATGGTGGATTCAAAGAAGCATTGGAAGACATCTGAAATGATGCAATGTGAAATAAGCAAAATAACAACAGCAGCAAAACAATGAAACTGAATTATGTGTTTATATGTAAGTGATTCAAAAATAAAAGATGTCAATAGGAATTCATTTTTAAAGAAATTGTATAGATACAAACTGGAAATCTTGCATTATGTATTTTTTATTCTTTACATTAAGATTCAAATAATTAATTACATAAGTACAAGGGAAATTGAGCATAGCAGAAACACATATGGGGAGGGGGACACAAGATATCTAACTTCAAATTCCATTCTAGGTCTTGGTTGATCAAAAATTAATATAAATCAATAGTATGATGTAACTTGTAATGTCTGTGTGTATGTATATACACACAAATAAGACACATATATACAATTGTGGTTATACTAATGTTATACAGATCATTGGTGTTAGTTTTTCCATTTGGTTCTTCTTTGCACATACTACATTTGGATACTTTTTCAGTTCTGGGCACCACCTTTTAAAGGGGATGTTGATTTAAAGGAGTTCTTTAACGAGAGGGTGATGACTTATTTGTAAGGAGTCCAAAAACCATGCTCTATAAGAAATGTTAAAAAGCCTTCAGGTGTTTGACCTGGAGAGGAAGAGAGCAAGAAAGATATAGAACTTGGGAATTTAAAACTGGAAGAGACTTTGGAAGGTGACTTTCACCTTGTTCAATCTCCCATCCAATATAGGTAAGAATCCTTTCAGTGAGGAAGAATTTGTGACAGATGATTAACCTGATTCTTCAGGATAATAATAATGATAATAATAATACTAATTGTAAAGGGGAGTAATAGTAACTATAAAGGAGAGAAATGCAATGGGAATGTCTAAAAAAGAGCAAAATAGAAGTTTTCATCCCTTAAACTGACACTTTATTCACGTTTTGAGATGGAAAATCAAACAATGATGGATTCCTGAGCCACATCCAGACAATGGTCTTCTCTCCCCAAGGCAGCTGCCTCTTGGTGTCTGGTAGAAGATAGAGAGAAGGAAGGAAGAAGGGGAAGAGCACCCAAGAACAGGATTGAACCAGGTGAATAGAAGAGGAAAAATAGAAGGGAAGAAGAAAATGATGCTCAGAAGAACTAGAGGTGAAATAACGATACTAGAAGCACTACCATTCCTATTTTCAGTTCTAGTTTTTGGGGAGGAGTGAAGGATAGAGCAGCAAGCACTACAATGGCCTTGGAACTAAACAAGGTCTTCCATGATTCAATAATGTCATCCAATGCCACAGCTGGATTTCAGAGCACAAACCACCACTCTTAGAGTATAGCCCTAAAATCAGATGTCACAAACCTGCATGCTGGTGCCAACTTCCCTACTCTAAGAGGCGGCTACATGGATCTGTGGAGAAAAAGCAAAATATCAATGATTCTCTAACACAAACTCCCACAAATATTCAGTATGCCACCATCCTGCATGAAAAATAAATAGAGAGCTGTCTGTTAGGATGATATTTTGATCTGTAGATATTTATTTTCCAATGAATTATCTCCATCGTTACAGGGAAATTGGAAACAAAGGGGGACAAATATCAGAAAGACTTACCAGTTTTTATCAAGTCAATGACATTTTCTTTTTTAAGTCCATGTAATGTATAAATTTCTTCAAATTTACTTTTTATGATTTGATTCAAATCCCCTCCTTTCTGTCGGCCTGTATTTGAAGAATATTATCTGTTACTACAGGTCATGAATTAATAAGTGAATGGAAAAACAAATTAAGCACTTAATATTTTCCAACCAGTCCTCTGAGTACTTTCAATAAAAATAGGAAAATACAGTCTTTGCTTTCAAGGAACTCCTTATGCTGTAGTTAGGAAAGAGAGAACATAAAAAGAAAGTTCTTAGCAGAGAGAATAGAAAAGCCCAGAAATCCTTAGGGTATAACATTTCATTAGATGTCAAGGCCCAAGGTTATGTCAGAAGAAAAGATAGGTGTGTTAGAGATCTGCAAGGAATAGAAACAAGGTCAATGTTAAGATCTAGAAGGTTTTAGGATGCAAAGACAGAGTGCAAGGTAAGACTTGATAGTTCTCCATGTTACCAGAGGGAATAGAGTTTATGTTTCTCATCTCATTCAAGGACCAGTGAAGCCAAACAGTGGGCATTTCTTTCACCTTAAACAAAGAACACCAAGCAGAAACACCAGGTTTTCCATTGCTTTTTGCCTAAAAATCTAGGAAAAATTTTACCTACTCCTCTTTCTTTTTCTTCTAATATCAGATGCATGTTTTAATAGTGGTTAGATAGGATAAAGGAAGGAATGGAATAAGGAAAGAAAGCAAGGATGGAATGGTGACTACAGATGGGCCCTGTCTTACATCCCAGAAAGACTATGAAAATAACAGGTCTTGGTATTTTCAGTAAAGCAGGAGACAAAAAATCATCCCCTGAGTGAGGATGAGAATTGTGGGATTAATGAGAAAGCAAACCTGGATTTGCTGCTGTGGACAGAATTCCAGGGAGAGAGACTAGAGGACACTTACTGTAGAGCTCCACACCTTTGCTTTCCATCCCATGAATCTCATTAGTTGTATAAATCAGGAAATAGTCATTTGGATCAGCAGCTTCCAGATAGATTACATTATTGCCTGGATCTGTAATGGGGTGAGATCAAAATCCCCTTGATAGTACCGGAAGTGAGAACAAACAAGTTCTATATTCAATAACTGCCCCTTCGCTAGGGTATGGCCTGATTCCCCTCATCAGTGGGGAAGATAATACCGCTGCCCTACACCATGACAAGGACCTTGCATTCAGAGTTATTATGATCATTTATCAGTGAAACATTTTAAGTAGGCCATTGACAAATTAGAGCAGATAAGATAGTGAGGAGACTTGTCTGTACCCATCAAGAATTGGTTGATGGACCTGACGATGTATAACTTAGAGAATTTTTTCCAAGGTTTTTCCAGGAAGAAGGATTAGATTATTCTGCTTTCCTCCAAGGGGCAGAACTGAGAATAATGGGTGAAATTTGCAGAGGGACATATTTAGACTTACATAATGAAACATATTCTAACAATCTGTATTGTCAAGAAATGGAAAGATCTTCCTTAGAAGATAGAGGCTTTCCCAGCATTCCTATACTGGTGTACTGTTGCTGTTTGTGTCTATTTGAGCTATAGAAAAATATTGTTCTGTCTTCTGTTTCTCTATTCTGTTGTAAATTAATTTTTCAAGATTAAATTAATAAATGTGCCTATTTAATGAATACACCCTGGCATCTAGTTGGACGAGTACTAGACTTGAAGACAAGGTTAGGATTGACATTCCAATTCTTCTTCAATTTACAAACTGCATGATCTCAGGCAAGATACTTTCCTTCTCTAAACCTGTTTTCTTATCTGAAAAATGAATCTGAAAAAATATAATAATATAAAACCTACCTCACAGGATGGTTTTGAGAATTAAACATTAATTTTTGTAAAGCATTTAGTAAACTATAAAATGGTATCTAAGTGTTATTTTTAATTCTCTTGGATGATAATAATAGCTCATATTTTCAAACACAAAGTACTTTTAGTTTGTTACCTCATTTGATCCAAGAACAAGATTAGAACTTAGTAAAAGAACACATTCATGAGCCTAAAACAACAATAAGAGTTATTGATACATACATCGGAGTTTGTATTTATTGTTTTCCAACTTGTAAGCAAGCACTGGCACTTGACTACATTCACCATTTCTCCTAGAAAAGGGAAAAAAAACACTTTGAGCTTAGACTTAAGTCAGGGGCCTTGGGGATACCCTGCTGACCAGCGTGCCTTGGGAAGAAAGCTATCGCTTATTTTGGTGATTCTTCTCCCCTTCCTCATAATTACCCTGTCATCAGTCAATGCCAGCCCCCAAGGTAACTTATTCTCTTTATATTACAGCCCCATTATAATCCTGGGAATGTTGATAAGGGATTTCCCATCTTCAGCCCTGAACTAGCCTTTGTGTAGGGAAGCCCAGAACTATGACCCAGCAGCTTGTCATCACTCTCTCATCAGACATACCTGAGGGTGAAGTAAAATATCAGATTGTTTGCTTTCATGTCAATACTGTGGATAAAAGCTGCAATGTTGCTTCCCACCTCACTGGAGGCCAAGAATAAAGGATACCACCTTCCTACAAGCTATGGAGAAATATTTTAGTAAAAGGAGTGGAAAGGAAGGATGAACAGAGAAGAAAGTCACCAGGCTGGGAGTGGGGGAGAAGGCTTTGTGTGGACTTACCCTAATGTGGCAGGGGTCTGAGAAGAAGAGATAAGGCTCTGACCCAGTTAGAAGGAACCCTGCTTCTTGTGATCTCTGAGGGCAGGTATGTCTATTGGCTTTACGGCCCCAAGGAGAAATACAGTATGGTGAATTCAAGGGATGCTACATTCTTTGCCTGATACAGAGAGACAGAGCTAGATTTCCTCGTATGGTTTCTGAGGTCCCCTGACATTGTGCACCAGCAGGATCTCATGCCAACATGGGAGCTGGAACCTCATTTTCCTATTAAGTGATTCTGCCCACTCTGAAGTGCTGTCTGTACAGGTAGGTATGCCCTCTGAGTGTACAGGGGCTGGGGAAATGTTTTGTTTGTCAGAGAGGGATTTCTCCTCATATGTACCTCAGTGGAGATAGTCCAAAAACAAGGGCCCACAATGAAATTGTAGTGTTAATGAGATGCAACCAATTGATGTTATTTTAAGGTGCCAGAGTCTCTCATTGGGTCAAGAAAGAATAATTTTATTGGTGGAAGGTACTCCATGTAAGTCACTTCCTCTTTCAAGGCAGACCAACATCTTGCCTGTTTTGGGTGATGAAGAGTATAGTGACTTCATTAGGGTCAAGAATAAATATATTCCAGAGACTATACTTCAACTTAGAAGCCCAGCTCTCTATCTACCACAGTAGGCAGCTTCCATAATAATAATAATTATAATAACAAAAATAATGATGATGATAATAACTGACATTTCTATATTGCTTACAATTTTGCCCATTATTTTACATATTTTGCCACAATTGATTTGTAACAACATATTCCATTGTTGTCCCCATTTTACAGATGAGGAAACAGGCTTAAAGTGCCTTGCCCAGGGTCCAACAGTTGGTATATGTCTGAGTCTGGAGTTGAACCTGGGTTATCCTAACTCTTAGTTCAATGTTATATCCACTGCACCAGCTGTAAACCAGGGTGTTGCACCAGGTCACTTCCAAGGTCATCATCATCGTCCATGGTTCTAGGGGCAAAAAAGTCTTGTTCTACACTGTTTTTAATTTCCTTATTTTTTTAAAAAACTAGCTAGTGTTGTAGTGTGGGAAGAAAACTCATCTGGGCACCAGGAGACATAAAGCAATTCTTAGATCTGTCATGTATCTAACAATGCAACTCAATTCCCCAACTTGGACTTCATGGTTTTTTAGCTATAAAATGGGAGGGTTGACCCATATGGTCTTTGATATGCCTTCTTGCCCTGACATTTTGGGTCTCTCTAACAGAGCAAAAGCTATTTTTACCTGGCCTTCTTTAAGTTGAAATCTTTATTAAGCTCTTATTTACAAACATCAATCAAGTGCAAATGAGGAAAAGGAGGTCCAGAGGTTAAGTGAACTACCCAGGTTCATCATGCTGACAAGTGTATTAGTCAGAATTCAAACCCAGGTCTTCTGGACTCTCCTTCTCTATCCAATTCATAACATTGCCTTTCTCTAATAGTGTTCTTTTCTTTCCGTCATGCTGCCTACGATTTTGTATAATTACTCTCAATTCTTTGAGCAGACAACGGTAGAATTATGTAAAATACTACCCAAGGTTTAAAAATTGTAAACAAATAATCCACAAAGGGGCCTTAGCAGTAGCCAACAACTTCTCTTACCTATTATCACCTTCACATCCCCTTCTTCCCTTCTCCTCCCCCTGAAAAAAATGCTAAAAAATGATTTATCTAGGTTGATTTACATCACCATAGCTTCCAGTCAATCTCCAAGACAGAGAACTGACCTGTTGATATTAGAAATTATTCTCAAAGTTTATAAATATGCTATGGTCACATACACATATGCATAGACATACACGCAGACGGCTGGTTTAAATGACTAAACAAGGTCAAGGAGACTTAACATTCAGTATCTTGGAGCAGCTGCATTTAAGATGGATTAATTGGAAGTAAACACAAAAAAATTATGAATCATCCTTTCCAAAGAGAAAGAATCCATTTGTACCTCAGAAGGTTAAATCACAGTAACTGAAATATATACAAAGACACATGCACTCACACACAAGTTCAGACTTTAAATGTTTTGTGGTTTTGAAATGCTAACCAAAGCCCAGATCGTGCTTTCGGTACTAACTCTAGTACTGCCTTGCTTTGTTTCATGTCTCTAAACCCCCTCTTCAATCCCATGTCAATCTATGCAATTCTTTTTACCCTCTTGTACCTTGTTGAAATTGATGTCATTTACTGAACCAGTGGCCTTGACCTGGAGGGTACAGACCAGGGCCAGGCCCATAGTCAATAGCAGAAGTCTCATCCTTAGAGCCTTTATTTCTTTATCTCCAAGGAAGAATAAAATATGGATCCTGTGCATGTTCCCGGCTATCTCTCACCTCTGCTTTTATATCCCCTCTGAGACTTGGGTTCCCCACTAAATTAACCCAGAAAGACCTCTCATTCCCCATAATGGCTTTTCCTTCATTGGAAATTTGCCAATCATTAGCTATTCTTCAATAATTCCAAGGACAGCAGCTGTCCATCCCCTGCGGAACCTACTGTTCTCTTTCTCCAAAGTTCATTTCCAAGACCAACAGAACACTTTGTAATGGGCTGACTTCCAAATAATTATTTGTGCTCAATCACACGTTGTATTTGAGGAGGTTGGATTAAATCTCTGATCCATCCCTGAGGCCTTTCTGAACTAAAGGAAGGAAAAAGTGGGAAGTCTTTCTTGAATCCACTTGAATTATCATTTCTTTCTATTGTATCTTCTCAGATTTCAGGTCTCCATTTGCACTGTTTCTCTGTGTTTAGTGATATATCACTGTGTCACAACTCATAAGAGATGTACATCTCTGAGTGTGTGCATCTATGTAACTACCCTGTCTATTAGACAGAAAACTCCGAAAGAAAAAGACTGTGTCTTCAATTTATTATTTAGTATCTTACTACGGTGCCTTATACAGGGTTCTGGCTCAATTTATACTAGTACTTCACTATAATACCCTGTTATTTCATGTGTTCTCATTCCACCAACTTCTTCCTAACTAACCAGGTCTTTGAGACTTGGTGTGACTGGAAAAATTCATCATCCTGTGGACAATCTACTGATGGGCCTTTTTGAAATAAACTAAGCTTGGGCCTTGAGTAACTTCAACCTTTTCTCCAAGCTGTTCCTTCTTGGTAGAATGTGCCAGAATTTAGGATTATATGGCTGAGACTTTGAGGACCTAGAGTATCTTCTATCTGATGATGAAACAACAGAGTAGGAATTTAGTGAAAGAGTGCTCCCTCAAAAAACAGCCAATGATTGTGGTATGTAACCCAGGGCAAGTCATTTAATTTCTCTGAGACTCAGTTTCCTCATCTATAAAATGGGAATAATAACACTTACCTGTTAGAGTCATTGAGAGAATCAAATGAGATGATATTTGTAAAGCATTTTGCAAACCTTAAATTGATAGATAAATGTTAATTAGTATTAGAATATGCTAAGAGTTTCTTTAAGGAAAGCATTATAATGTCAATGTAAGTTCTTATTATTCTTGGATCTTTTTTCACCTCATTTTTATACTTTAAAGTTTATTCTTTACAGTAATTCAACGAACAGATTTTTCAATATTCTATAAACAAAGAATTGTACATGAAACTATGAACTTTAGGAACTTCACTTGGTACTTCTTTAAAAGTACATATAACATTTAGCATATTAGCAACAAGATTGTCTTCCTGTAGTATTCCTGATTCAGGAAGTCTAGCTGAGATTCAAGATTGGAATGAAATGAGATACTCATGGAATATGTAGTAATTAGAAACAATTAGCGACAAAATTATATTCAGACTTGGGAAAGGATATTCATCAAGGACACACCATTAATACAATTGAACATTGTCAGTCTAATGATTATCACTCAGTGGATCAGTCAATCAATGAGAATTTATTTAGTGTTTACTATGTACTTGGCACTGTGCCTCCTTCCCTGCCTCTGTCTTTCTTGTTAGTCCACTGGTCAGAAGCCTGAGAGAGGAACAGGTTTCTGATTTCTTGATTTTTTTTTTGTACTTACTTTCCAAGAAGTTCTATCATTATCCCAACATGTATAATTTTAAAATAATATGTAGCCTAATCTGCATAGGATAAATCTTTAAGATATTGAGCTCCTATAGCCCTTCTGAATATCCTCCTACTCTCTTCAATGTACTTTTTAAATGTTCCATTGACATTCTTTTCTTTCTTTTCTTTTGTATCACTGTAACCACCCTCCAAGCATTGCCACCTTTGCTGCTTAATCCAAATAGAAACCTTCCACTATAACACATAGGTGTAGTTAAGCAAAACAAATAATACATTGGCCATGTATAGAAATGGATGTCTTTTTGTACAACTCTAGTCTCATTGCTTGTCTGCCAAGAAGTGAGAAGCATGTTTCACTTTTGGTTTTCTGAAACCATGATTAGAGATTGCATTACTTGGAATTCTTAAGGCTTATAACATTATTTTCCTTTACATTATTGTAGTCATTATATAAATTGTATATCCCCACCACTTGAGAAAATAAAAAGAAATTCTTATAACACATATACATTAAGTAAAATAAATCCTTGCATTGTCCATGTCCAAAAACATGTGTCTTGTTCTGGACCTCGCTGTCAGGAGAAAGGTAATCTGCTTCATCATCTGTCCTCTAGAAGTCTGGTTGGTGATTGCTTCAATCAGAATTCTTAAACCTTAATTAACCTTCAGCGTTGTTTTTCTTTTTTAATAGTATTTTATTTTTCCCCAGTTACACATCAAGAAAAATTTTTAGTATTCATTTTTACAAGATTTTGAGTTCCAAACTTTTTTACCTATCTACCTCCCCTTCCCCTTTCTGAAAATGGTAGGCAATTTAATAATAGTTTATACATGTGCTATCACACAAAAATATTTCCATATTAGTCACAGTCATGAAAAAGAAACAGATCAAAAGGAAGAAAAAAAAACATGAAAAAGAATACAGTGAAAAATATACAGTGGATAGAGCACCAGCCATGAAATCAAGAGGACCTGAGTTCAAATCCGGATTAGGACACATAACACTCACTAGCTGTGTGACTCTGGGCAAGTCACTTGACCCCAATTGCCTCACCAAAAAAAAAGAAAAAATATCCTTCAATCTGCATTCAGAATCCATCAGTTCTTTATCTGGATATGGATAGCATTTTCATTTGTGAGTCTTTGTACTTGTCTTGGACAATTGTGTTGCTGAGAAGAGCTGAGGTGATCATCACACAGTGTTGTTGATACTGTGTGCAATGTTTTTCTGGTTCTACTCATTTCACTTTGCATCAGTTTGTACAAGTCTTTCCAGATTTTTCTGAAATCTATCTGTTAATCATTTCTTATTGCACAATAGTATTCCATTACATTCATATACCACAGCTTGTTCAGTCACTCCCAAATGATGCGCATCCTTTCAATTTCCAATATTTTGCCACACAAAAAGAGCTGCTATAAATATTTTTGAAGATATAGGTCCTTTTCCCATTTTTATGATCTCTTTTGGATGTATACCTAGTAGTGATATTTCTGGATCAGAAGGTATGCACAGTTTTATAGCCCTTTGGGCAGTTCACAACTCCACCAAAAGCGCATCAGTGCCGCAATTTTCCCACAACCTCTCCAACATTTATCATTTTCGTTTTTTGTCATATTACACAATCTGGTAGGTGTGAGATGGTACCTCAGAGTTGATTTCATTTACATTTCTCTAACCAAAAGTGATTGAGAGCACTTCTTCATATGCCTATAGATAGCTTTGATTTCTTCATCTGAAAACTGCCTATTCATATCCTTTCTCATGTATCAATTGGGGAATCACTTGTATTCTTATAAATTTGACTCAGTTCTCTATTTATTTTAGAAATGAGACCTTTATCAGAGACACTTGCTGTAAATATTGTTTCCCAACTTTCTGCTTTCCTTCTAATCTTAGTTGCATTGGTTTTTTGTACAAAAGCTTTTTAATTTAATAAAATCAAATTACCTATTTTACATTTTCTAATGCTCTCTATCTTTTCTTTGGTCATGAATTCTTCCACTCCCCATAGACCTGACAGGTAGACTATTCCTTGGTCTTCTAATTTGCTTATGGTGTCACCCTTTGTGTCTAAATCATGCAAAAAGTCTGTCATACATAACTTTTCTAATATTTTATTTACCTCTTTGTTTCCTTCTTATTTATTTTTTGGTTGGAATTATTGAGTTTTGAGAGGGGACAGTTGAGGCCCCCACTAGTATAGCTTTGCTGTCTATTTCTCCCTGTAATTCATTTAACTTCTTTAAGAATTTGGATGTTATACCACTCAGTGCATATATCTTTAGCATTAATATTGCTTCATTTTCTATGATACCTTTTATCAAGATGTAGTTTCCTCCCTTATCTCTTTTAATTAGGTCTATTTTTGCTTTTATTTTGTCCAAGATCAAGATTGTTACCCCTGCTTTTTTTTTTTACTTCAGCTAAATCACAATAGATTCTGCTCCAGCCCCTTACCTTTATTCAGTGTGTGTCTCTTTACTTCAAGTGTGTTTCTTGTAAACAACATATTTTAGGATTCTGGTTTGTGATCCACTCTGCTATCTGCGTCTGTTTTATGGGAGAGTTCATCCCATTCATATTCACAGTTATAATTACTAACTGTGTATTTCCCTCCATCCCAGTCTTCCTCCTCTTTGTCCTCTCTCTCCTTTCCCTCTTTCCCTCCTCACCAGTGTTTTGCTTCTGTCTACCATCTCCCCTGGTCTGCTCTCCCTTCTGTCAGTCCCCACTTTTCCTTTAGTTGATAGCCTCCCCTCCTATTTCTCTGTTGGGCAAGATAGATTTCTATATTTAACTGATTATGTATATTGGCTCTTTGAGCAAATGCTGATGAGAGTAAGGATCAAGTGATTGTTGTCACCTACCCTCTCATCTTCCCCTCCACTGTAATAAGTCTTGTATCTCTTCATGTAAAATAATTTACTCTATTCTACCTCTCCCTTCCTTCTGTACCCATTGTATTCTTCTTTCTCATCCTTTAATTTTTTGATGTCATTCCTTCATATTCACCTTATACCTGTGACCTCTGTCTATGTATATCCCTTCTTGATGTACTATTAGTGATATTTTAAGAATAGCAAGTATCATCTCATGAAGGTATGTAAGTAGTTTAGCTCTATTGAATCCCTTATGTTTTATTTTCCCTTTTCACCTGCTTATGAATCTCTTGGGTCTTGATATTGGAGGCCAGTTTTTCAGTTTAGTTCTGGTCTTCTCCTTATGAAAGCTTGAAATA